TTGTGCCAGGCTGAATGAAACTCATCCCAACGAGATGCATTTCCACTGCCGATGTGCTTCTTGCCGATGCTGCTGCCTTGCAAGAGGCGGATGATGTCTGGCACACTGAGATCGTGCTCGGCGACACCAATTTCCATGGCCACGTGTGGAAGAAAGAACTTCATGATCTCCCATTCTGCAGAGGTCTCTTGCTGTCTTTGTTTCTTCTTCAGCGTCTCCAGAAAACTCGTAACTTCTTCTGCGACGATGCGCTCCCACTTCATGCCACCCCAGGGACCTCGTGTCCAGCTTATGAGCGCATTGGCCCATCTTGCGCTGTAGTTTCCATAGGTCTGCGCATTCTGCAGGACACGCTGTAGCGTGTGCCTGGGGTCGTAGATGAAGATGCTGCGGAGTCTTGCGTGGAACATGAGGAACATCTTGCAAGCTTGAGCATCAGTGCCGTGGTCTGTACAGCACACCAAGACTTGTGTCTTGCCCAACGGTTCAGCGTCTTGCATTTTCTCTTCCTCCTCATTTTCTGGCGCAAAAGCCACGAGTCCTCTGGCGTTGTTGGTGAGCTTGACGATGTGATCCAAAGCCAGCACTTGGTCGTACGTGCTTAGTCTGCAGGCGGGCTTCTTGCGGATGGACAGAGTCTCGGCTTCAGCATCTTCCAAGTCTCGTTTGCGATCTTGCCCTCAGCTTCTTAAGCAAATGGTCGAGAGCAAGCATGACAAACTAAACTGACCGCTTAGATCTACTTAGACGTAGTCTTTGGCGGACGTGTATCCAGCCTCTTACGTTGGTTTGCAAAAGAACGCCAACTCAGCTTGAATGTCTTCCATTGACAGCCCAAGGCTCGAAGGATCGACCTGACATCGATGGGCCCAATACCCGCAGTTTCTAGCGAGTCGTCTCTCTGGCCAGGAATCTGGTGGCCGGAGTCCTGGTGCACCTGAGGGAAGACAGAAGCGACTCCATTAGTTTAATGAGCCTTTTAACATTATTTATTAACTCTTTAATTAATATTAATGAATTTCTGGCTCTGATTGGCCTGCGGTGGTGCCCAGCCACACTCGCCACTTGCCAAGTTCATGCAGGCGTAGGACGTGATCTTGCGACCACCGACGCGGGAGGAGTCGAAGCACACGTTCAGGTGTCTTGCGCCCCAGGTTGCCGCCAACAGAGTCTTGTAATAGGAGGCTCTCTCCAGGTCCTTGTCCTTTCTCGTCAGCAAGCTTCTTGCCACAATACTTCTTGCCTTGAGAGCTGCTTTTTGCTGCCTTGTGAGCTTGATTTTCTTGCGTTCACTCTCTTGAGCTTCATCTTGCCGCTTGCGTTTTTTTTTTTCTCTGGCATTCCATGCTTTCTGGCGCGCTTCCACGACGTTTCTCACACGCTGTACCGGATCTCGACGGTGACCTTGCTGCGCCATATCTGGCGTGCCGTCCTGCCAATCCACGAAAAACATCTGTTGCTCCATTGCAGCAGCAAGTTGCTCCAGAATCTGGCACAAAAGCCATCGCTTTTTTTCTTTCAATCGTATGTCTCTCAGAAACTGCAGAAGATCATGCTCTTTACTCAGGCGCAGTCCCTTGACGCTGATGTTTGACCTCTTGCATGCTTTTGCCAGCTCTTCGAAGTGAACTCGACCCTGGACTACGGTGACCTCCACAGGTTCGTGGTCGGAAGGAGGTTGCAAAGTCAGCCTCACTTCTGTTGCAACAGCGTTCATGACTTTGCTCAGCCAGTCACCGCAGGCCTTGCGCGTGGTCGCATCCTTGCCAGAAACCGCACCGGACAGAGTGACAAGGAGCACCAGAACTGTGCTTCCGCAGACTTCATGTGCTGCCATCTCTCCCGGCATGCCGTGGCGATCTTGCCGGGATCTGTACGGCCACAGGAAATGCTTCTGGCTTCCCAGAATGGCAGAAGCCATCTCGGACCAACTCTTCTTGCACGTCCCAAGGAAGTTGTGAGGATTCTTGCCTTTCTGGAAGTTCTGTAAACGCCACCAGAAATGATACCCGTCCAGCGGCAAGGCAAACTGTAGCACAAACAGCAGCTGCTCTTGTTCGTGGACGCCCCGGAAGACCTGTCAGGGCACATTATTTATTCACCAGGAACTGCAAGCCAAGGCCGATCGATTCATCTCCCTAACTGTTTAACTGCATCTTAACGTCTTTGCTCTGACCTTGGCCTCGTGGTCATCTGGCGGGTAGAGGAGGAGACGATCCTCCTGAAAAGCAGGCAGCCACTTCAGTCTGACCCCGTCCACAGTCGACATCTTGGCAAAGAGCTCTTGCGAGGCCGCGTCTCGCCAGACGGACCAGGAAAAGACCTTGTTAAGCCACTCTGTGGTCTCGCCAATGCGAAGGTACGACCAGCCGGTCTGGCGGCTCACACGTACGATTGCCTGGGTGTTCTCTGGCTCATCGAAGAAGTGGCTTTCGCCAGTTAACGTGTTGCTGACTCTTGCCCGTCCGGCGTGCCTGAGGACACGGAAGGTCTCCGCGTCATGCTTCACGCGCAGGCAAGAGTCGGCATCGAATCTCGCGTCCGGGGGCCGCTGGCCTCTTTCCATGGCAGACGACAGCGTGATCTTGCTGACCGTTGTCAACGCAGTTGTGATTCAAAAGTTGTGGCGTTGCGGTTCTGCCACAGGCTGACTGACTGAGTCAAGGGTAATCATGTGAAGAACTACCTGATAATCGAAACTGCGAAGACTGCACGAAACATAAAAAGACGGCGTGGAACATCCCTAGGCGCCCCTCACTGGAAAGAAGTGCTGCAGCGGGACACTGCAGATCGTTCTTGGATGCACAACTTTATCTGCAACATGAACTGCACTTCTCTGGTATACACGGTCCTGAAACAGCCCCAATGCTGTCTTCGGTCGAAATGTCGGCAAAGCAGCAAACCTGACACGAAGAGATGTCATTGAAACAAGTCTGCTATACAAGCTAAGGTGCTCAGGCAGGAGACGCCTGCATAGTAAGGTTCAGAGTGTAATTGTCGTAATTGCAAATAGCAGTGTAGTAAGAATAAATCAGGTAGAAATAGTAGTACAGTAATCATTGTAGCAGTTAGTAGTAGTAGTAGTAGTAGTAGTAGTAGTAGTAGTAGTAGTAGTTGTAGTAGTAGTAGTAGTAGTAGTAATAGTAGTAGTAGTAGTAGTGGTAGCAGTACTGGTAGTAGTAGTAGTAGTAGTAGTAGTAGTAGTAGTAGTAGTAGTAGTAGTAGTAGTAGTAGTAGTAGTAGTAGTAGTAGTAGTAGTAGTACGTAGTAGTAGTAGTAGTAGTAGTAGTAGTAGTAGTAGTAGTAGTAGTAGTAGTAGTAGTAGTAGTAGTAGTAGTAGTAGTAGTAGTAGTAGTAGTAGTAGTAGTAGTAGTAGTAGTAGTAGTAGTAGTAGTAGTAGTCGTAATAGTAGTAGTAGTAGTAGTAGTAGTAGTAGTAGTAGTAGTAGTAGTAGTAGTAGTAGTAGTAGTAGTAGTAGTAGTAGTAGTAGTAGTAGTAGTAGTAGTAGTGCAGTAGTAGTAGTAGTAGTAGTAGTAGTAGTAGTAGTAGTAGTAGTAGTAGTAGTAGTAGTAGTAGTAGTAGTGGTAGTAGTAGTATAAGTGACTACTACTACGATTGTTATTGCTCAGTTCTACTACTAGTACCACTACTAGTACTACTACTACTACTACTACTACTACTACTACTACTACTACTACTACTACTCTACTACTGCTACTACTGCTACTAGTACTAATACTAGCCTACTACCTACTACTACTACTACTACTACTACTACTACTACTACTACTACTACTACTACGACTACTACTACTACTACCACCACCACCACCTCCACTACTACTACTACTACTACTGCTACTACTACTACGACTACTACTACTACTACTACTACTACTACTGACGACTACTACTACTACTACTACTACTACTACTACTACTACTACCTGCTACAACTACTACTACGACGACTACTAGTACTACTACTACTACTACTACTACTACTACTACTACTACTACTACTACTACTACTACTAGTACTACTACTACTACTACTACTACTACTACCACCACTACCACTACTACTACTACTACTACTACTACTACTACTACTACTATGACTACTACTGCTACTACCACGGGTATTAGTAGCAGTACTAGTACCAGTACTGGTACTAGTACTACCACTTGACGAGCACCTAAGGTCCTAGTTAAGTAGTCATCAGTAGTACCGTACCAGTACTAGTACGAGCACGAGTAGCAGTGCACAAGTGCTCCTACTTGTACTAGTATTACTACTCACTGGCAACACTAGTAGTTAGTAATGATAGCACTTCTCCTTGTAGGAGTGTTGTCGTGCAGACTTACCAGACATTGAAAAGCCGCTGCTCCGACGCACCTTCGACGGCTCTGCCACACGCTGCAAGCTCTGCCTGGGCAAACGTAGCTGTGTAACAGGTCTGGCGAGGACAATTTCTGGGCCGGACTTCACCATGGCCGTGTTATCTCTTCTGACTCTTGCAGCATGCAAACAGCACACAGCCAAAGTAAGTCTCTGCTCACTGGAGGGGGACAGTGAATGCGGAGTTGGGTTTCCGGCATTTCAGTGAAGTGAAGAAGCCTGAGTCATGAGGTAGTTGGTTAATGACATGACTGACTCAGAGATGCACGCAATGTAGCAACTGAGAAGATGGGCGCATCCTTTTCCTCCATTGTCGTAGCTCTTACTGTTGAGATGCTGATTCTGGCAGGATCTTTTCTGTACTCTTGCTTGCATCCAACAGGCTCTATTGCAGCTGCTGGCAGCCAGCGATCTTGCCGAATCAAAACAGCAGCTCCCAAGAACTATGAATCATGTGTTTCAAGCGCAAAACTGCGAGAACGTCCTGGCTGGCTGACTCCACGGTTCGCCACAGCTGCTCCAAGCTCTTGCCGGGTTCCAATATCGCCTTGTGTCTTGCAACCTGTAACACTGCGGAAAACCACTACGGATTCAAGGATTAGGGTGTTTTGCTAACAGCCCACCCAGCCTGGAGGAGGCCTTCCGACACTTGCTGCGTCATTCGCCACATGTCATGTCTCTCTCTTGCGCACTGCTCGATGTTCTCCAGAACACTGTGGAAAGGATAACCCTGCACAAAAAGATGATCTGGCGTTTCTTGCAGCACCGGCGCTGAACCGGCGGGTTCGAAGAGCACGTTGTGCGCCAGCGACCACAGCAGACTGGTCAGAACAGAGATATCTTGCCGAATTTTCTGGCGGTCTTGTGTGAGTACCTTCAAGAGCAGTCGGAGCCAGGCGAGGATCAGGTCCAGCGGTCCCTCCACAAACATCTTGCGGTCCTCTGGCCAACGTGCGGTCTATAAGCGACTCAAAGTAAAAACTCGCAGCAAGCAGTCCTCGTGTTGCGGGAGACTGTTTTGCAAAGACTGGACCAGGTCTGGCAGCAAGGACATGGCAAGCGCCCGTGCTCCGCGGTCCAT